GGACTGCAGCACTGTGTTGATTGGGCTGCATGCAGCCCATCAGCCATGGGTTGAGAAATACTGGGTTTACACCCTTCTCCAGAACTCAGTTTGAAGCTGCCCCACATTAATAATTTGAAAGATGTGATCATGTGCATGGTTAGCAAATTTGTGGATAATATCAAGTTGGGTAAAATTACAGACACTGGAAGTAGAACTAGGATCCAGAATGACCTGGATAAACTGGACAAATGGTACAAAATCAATCAGATAGAATTCAGCTAAGACAAATGCAAAGTCCTGCACTTAGAACGGAATCACTACAGCAAATACAAAGTAGGGAATAATTGACTAAGTTGCAATAGTGCAGAGAACAATTTGGCAGTAACATAGGCTGAATATAAGCCAGCAGTGCATTTTTATTGCAAAAAAACCCTCAAAACCCGCCAACAGCATAAAGAGTTGAAGAATCACTTCACTGGATTCTACTTTATTTGGCTCTGATAAGATCTTATCTAGAGTATTATGTCCAGTTTTGGGCCCAGATGTGGACAAATTATAACAGGTCCAGCAGAAAATGATTAGAGGCCCAGAAAACATGACTCATTAGGAAAGGCCAAAACAACTGTGATTGACTATGAAACTTGTTAAGCAGTGAAACCTAGGTAAATTGAGTAATCTCCAATCCTGGGTATTTTCAAAAGTAGGTAAGACAGACACTTGACTGAAATGATATGGCCTGGGATGATCCTGCCTTGAGCAGGGAACTGGATTAGATGACCTCATGAGGGTCCTACTTCCCTATGATCTTAAGAGAAGGGGATATGTAGGGCCAGGATGAAGCAATGCAGTTATAAGGTGTGTGGCTCAGTGAGATGGATGCTCTCTCAAAGGGAGCAGATGCTGGCTTCTAGCTCCTGATGGAACATAGCCTTCCCCACTACTGGATGCATTAAATACTAAAGGCTCAGTGCAGTGGCTTGGCTTCAAGGAGGAAACTGGATAAAGCCTGAGTGATGGTGAGAGCATTGTTCTGGGAAGTTGGAGATATTAGGTTTAAAACTTCTCTAAAAAAGAGTGCCTTAAAAATCTGAGCACTCCCACTTCTTGGGTAAGTGTCCTAGCCACACAGCTGCTGGGGTTAAAACATGGGATGATTGTCATCTTCCTCCTCACTTTTTGGGGGACTTACACTCTGTATACTTATAAGGAGAAATTACCAGCCTGTTAGTGTGATGTCTACTGTGCATGTTCAGTAGCCATGTGACACATGCATCCACACTGTATAGGGAGTAGAATTGGCAGATGCCAAGTAATGATAGTTATGTAGCTGGGAAAAGGTATTTGGGTGTCTCAAAGTATTTCTGCTTCATACTCATAACATGTTTGGTTTCCTTGATTTCTGTTCCTTTTTTTGATTCTCCAAAGAATGCAGAACTAAATGTAATACTCCAATAACCAGGCTGAAAACCATTCTGTATACCTCCTCTTCTTCACTGGTCTTTACCTTCCTGATATATTTATCCTAACAGGCATTGCTCTGTTAGGATACAGAATCAAAGCTCTTTTAACCTTGTCTCAAAAGATAGGCTCTCAATTCTTCTAATCATTCTAGGGCCCTTTTTCTCTACCTATTCCAGTTTAAATGAATCTTTTTTTATCATAGATGAACAGAACTGTAGCATCAATACTTCCCTATCTTTGCTGGAAATACCTTGTCTTGATGTGTCTTAGGATGGCATTTGCCTTTTTCATAGCCACATCACACCGTTATCACCCTTTGATTGATCATCCCATGGGTCTTACTCCCATGTTGTATGCAACTAATGAGCTTCTACCTCCAGCAAGAAATTATTTTTATTCATCCCTTTTCATATTTTCCAATGCACTTTAACTTTGGAGCTGCTACGTGAACAGGATCAGTTCGCTACATGGAAGGTCTTCAGTAGGAGTAAATACTTGCAGCTTTACCTAATCCAAGGGTTGGATCCTGTGAATGTTTAAGTATCATAGATATTTGTGATCACCTGAGATGCACAAGCCCCTCTGACATCTCTAACCCAATAAATGATGAATGTCAGGGAAGGTATTGAACAGGGGATGAATCATCTGGAGATATCTGGTTCAGTGCTCTCCAGGTGTAGCATCCACTCCTGCCACTGTCGTACACAGGATATTGGGCTAAATGGGCCATTAATCTGCCCAATATGGCACTTCTTATGTTCTTCTCAGATAGCTTAGCCGGATTGAAAAAAAGAACAGGGTAAATTCATGGAAAGTTCATGGTTACTAGACTTGCTCGGGTGGAATGTTTCTCAACTCTGAAATATTATTCTCAACATACTTAACAGGAAAAAGTCGGATGTTTCTGACCATAAAGACACATAGCAAACCCCACCTATTTAGCCATACATTTTTTGAGAAAAGGGAGGCCTTGAAAGAAGAAGAAAATATCACTGGGTAAATTACACATTGTATAACTTCAATCAGTTTGTTTGTTTTTTTACACTATTCCCAGAAAGGAAGAGCTACCACAACTTCAGTCCCAGCAGAAATAGGTGGAGCTGTACATGAGCAATTCATTTTATTTCTTAGGGCTCACCTGGGTTAGATTTTTGTTTTCTATCTGACTGAATCTACTGATTGAGTGAATTCAGATGATGGACTAGCACATGCTAGTCTGGAAACTTCACAGTTTGCTGCATGCTGACCCTTAAGCTAAAATCAAGACATTTGTATCCTGGAGCAAATATTTGTGCTTTGTCTAGATCTGATGGTTCAAATGTGTTTCTCAGTGCAATTTGCTTTAAATAAAACAGTGTAGGGCAAACGTATCCATAGAGATCCCAGAAGGTAAAACCCACATCTTGTGTCAGATGCCACAGGGTACCATATGGTCATCCCTCCTGCTTTATGTGGTTTTGAAGCCACAGAGGCTCCCTGAAGAACCACAAACTGTGATACTTTCAACATTTAGTTGACACGCTCCTGTGCATTTCCATCTTTTCTAAACACTCTGGAAGAATTTAACAACTTGACCAGCAAGATTTCAGATGAAGGATAAACTCTGTCTACTTCTGTCCAAATAAAATTTGAAGTAATAGAGAGAATAAATCAAAATAAATGATACTGCTTGTATCAACTACAGGCAGGCAGGGAGGGCACAGAATTCTTTTCAGGTTTATCATTTGAATTGAATCTTTAACCAGATGTCCATGTAATCAATATGTCCCAAGCAACTACTTTAGCTGGTTTTCATCTAAAAGATACAAATTTTTTTACTTTGATTCTGATGTCATTACAATTATCTATGCCTTTCTCACCTTTAAATTTTCCTATTTTCTGGTACTCTGAGAGTTTTTCTCTCTCTCTCTGTGAAAACGTCACTTTTTGTCCCTACCTCAAAAAAGAGGGATTTCTGGCAGGTAGTCTCTAGCAGAGAGTCCTCAAATTCAAAAGAAACTGCCTGTCCATTTGGGCTCCACTGCCTGAATTTGTTAGCCCTCCAGCATTTCCTGGGATTTCCCAGCAGTTTGAGGGACAATGCACATTCAATGTAGGGAGATGTGGATATATGTGATGAGTAATTTAAATCGTTTAGAGAGACCAAAAAGGCCAAATCCATCTTTATGCACCTAAGTAGCACTTGCAGAGCTGTGTAAGTGCAACATGTGGCATTTACACAGAATTTTGATTCAGTTTCATTTACATCATTACAGTTGTCCTATGCTCCCCTTCTGCACTTGCTCAGGAACCTGCAGTCTGGCTATGTAGGCTCTGGGTGAGAATAAGATTGCTCATTTAGGTGGGTAGTGCCATGGAAGTCCCCAGAACTTCAGTCAGAGAAACTATGACTGGCAACTGTTTGATCATGTCAGACAAGGATCCTGCTATGTGGAGCTCAACAACCTAGTGGTGAGAGCACTTGCCCAAGAAGTGGGAAACCCAAATTCTAGACCTCTTT